GTTCAAGGTTTTTTGAAAGAATACTGTCAATGGGCCGGCCAGAACGGATGCTAATTCTTTGAGCAATCTGGGATGGAAGCCGTCTGGTCCACATGACTTGTTGGGATTTTGAGCTACCAGGCGCTTGAGAACCTCTTCTTCGTGTATTTCAAAACATGTTAACTTCGAGCCGACTGGGCGCACCTCAATATCTGGAATACTGTTCAAGTCCTCATCTGTGAACACACTGCTGAAGAACTGATTAAGAACGTTAGCCATGCCCTCATCAGAGGAAATCTTTCGTTGGTCTACTTTCAAATCAGAAATACCGTCGTTTATGCTAATTTTATATATTCACCGTGTTTGCACAACTCTGTGAGGTTACAAGGAGTCAATGGTCTTAAGACGATCATCCTATGATCCAATATGAGATCTACTCATCGCTCATGGCTGCCGCAACAAGTTTTACTGAATGTTAAATTTGTGCGCTTTGTCTTTTTCTAAAGCTGAATTTTCCATTTTCTAAAGCTGAATTTTCATTTTTCTAAACTTCTCCAACTTGTTTTTCTTACGTCCAATTTTCTTTGTGTGCTCAAACCTGAAAAGTTATCACTTTTAATTCGCGATAGTTGCATTTTTCATGATCCGAGAGTTTTGTAGACATGCGAACGCAGACGCCTCCCGTATCAACGACCATCACGCGCGCGATACGGCACACGTATCTTATCAACACGACGTTCTCTACAGTTCGTATCAAGCAACAGCAGCCGCCGGACAGGAGGATTGCGTTTGTTCTCGAAATAAAATTTATAATGCATATTTTAATATGTGTAAAAACATATAGGGTCAGGGAATGTTTATCGTATTTGAATGATTTAGACGGCATTATTTTGGAACGCAAGTTCAACTTAGGACCACGGTGTAATACACGGGACGAGTGAAACCCTGAAAACAATATTTCGATACGAATGATCGTTCGTGAGAGGAAAATACTTTCATAAAAGAGTTTTCATTGTGTAACATTATGAAATATGATTGAGAACGTATGTCCATTCTGTTAGCCTTCCATAGGAAGTTAATTTACGGATTATCACACACGTTACCGACGACCACCGAACATTGGGCAATAACTCGAAATAATCATAAAATTAGTATGTTTAATAAAACTAAATCATTCAATTCTGAAGAATACACGCGATCTTCTCGCTGACGGGATCCTTGAGTGACCGAAGACCAAATTTGAAGGTTGCAGCATCTCGAAACTTACGAGCATGAGAAGTGTTAGTGCTGTGTGGTTTCTTCGAGCCGCTGTGATGGTGGCAAGCGCTCACATCCGCCTCCAGCCATCGGACGCTATGAATTCTTCCCACTTATACTTTCATAAGAAGATTGAGCCTAATTATGAGCCTGAAGGAAATGAAAAGCTCGTGCATGTCTCGCTAAGTAGCACGCTGTGGACCAGCACCTCTCCACATTCTTCCATTTCCATGGAGTCGTCTCACAAAGGTAGAATTTGTTCTACGCCAGAAAATATGACTATTTTATTACCGAATTATTAATATTATGCTATGCTATTGAGGACACCAAACCCGCTATGTTACATGTTGCTTTAAATTTAAAAATTTAATCGAGTTCAATAAGAAAAACATCTTTTTAGTTATATTACTCGTTGTGTCCTAATAATAAATATTTTTGAATTCCCAAGTAATTCACATCTCGAGATAGCGTTGAATAGCTGCTTCATCAAAATGGCGTAGGCGTCAAATGTTTGTGTAAAATGAATGTGTGACGCATGACAGTTAGCCGATACAGAGGCCTGACGTCGGAATATCTTTTCAGTGTCTCCACGCTCCAAATCCATCTGTTATCCGTTTGTGCCCAGGTTAACTTGCCCACCTCACTATAGCATCATTTACCATAAGAATTTACCTCCTCATTTACCCATACGATATTTTATATGGCCATATCGTAACTCAAATCATGCATGCTAATTTTCTACTTTTACTAATTTTCTATTTTTTTCCTAGAAGTCACTTTCGGGCTCCAGACGTCTCCCCTTGTAACTGCAAGACGATTCGTGAGCAATCGGCAGATTACTCATGAATTGGTCTTCGCATCGACTAGTGTACCCGTTAATTTCTTATTGCCAATTTATTATTAATATTAATATTACTTTAAAAGATTGAAATTTATTAAATTATTAGCAACTATGTTGCAGCATCCCTTCCGTCTTTGGAGTGCTCGAGCGACAAAGACTGTGACAGCTACAATGCCAGTGTCCCGCTGGTATGCATTGATGAGCAATGCACGTGTCCGGCCCCCTACTGCTGGCACTACCAATACTTTAATTCGAAAAATTTCTTCTTTTGCGGCACGTGTGGTGAGTGCCAACATTATTTAATCGTCGCAGTATTAAATTTTAAAAATGTTGATGCGTCGTGGATTGGGCATAGTGGCAGTTTTTTGGACATGATGCACTCATACCTCCAATTGAGTTATTAGGGGCAATTTTAAATTCGACTCTCAAGTTATATTTAGGGCCTTTTTACGTTTATGAATGTTTTCGGGTGTTGTTATTCACGAGTGTTTTGTATTCAAGTTTAGGACATAAATTGAGAATACATTATTATTTTAATGAGGTTTCTTGATGAAGCATCGTTTAGATAAAAGTTTTTGTCAATCTCACTTGAATTCGTGTCATGATGAACCATTTTTATGGGTGTTTTCTGTACGCTTTATCGTCTTTAGTATAAAGATGAAAGTATATGTTGAGAAATGAACAAAAAAATGCTGGCCACGTAAAACGCATGTAAAATTTATCAAATGTGAATTTGTGCATTTTTAAAAATGAAATTAGCAGTACATTAAGCGGAAAGATTCTATTCTGAAAGAGTATCATTTGCTTATAAATTTCTGGACAATATTTTGTGTTGCAGGGACGCTGGGCTCGAGCTGCAATAATACGGAGTGTAAGCCTCCTGGCCGGTGCTGGGAAGACCACTTCTGCCATTGTAACACAGGGATGAATTATTACGGGATATGGTGAGGCGAAATATCTTGGCCTATAAGACACGTCAGACCAGAAGCTGATGCAATTAAATTCCATTGTTCAGAATAATAGGCATTTAATGCTTTCGAAGCACACGCATTTGGCAGGATATTCCTCACTGATCTATAAACTACCGGAGATTTAAACGTTAGCGTGTCAAGATACTGAGTTCGACGTGTACCAATATTCTATTGATATTTTCCCAATTTGCCTTTGACAATTTCCTGTACAAGTATTTAACCCGCGTAACCATAACTTTGTTTCATTTTTTGCCTTATGCAGTTATTTTACTGACTCAATCAACGTTTTCAACATTTTTCAGCCAGTTCACGGTGGCAGTATTCGAACAAACCGTCGTAACTTCGATATTGACGGGAATAGTGTTCTTTCTCTGCATCGCCATTTGCGTCGTCTCTTTCAGGCCCGAGTGAGAAAATTATTATATTGAAAAAAAAATTAAATTATTATATTGAAATGCCAGCGATAGGGATACTTTTCTCATTACATACCCTCAATTTTATTCAGTAAAAATTTGAACGATATCTAAGTAACCACGAAAAATGCAGAAGTGAAAAGCCTAGTGACATGACAGTACAAAAATTTCAAAGCATATTTTCATCATAGTTGTTTTTAAGGCTTTAGAATCAGAGTGAATATCCTAGTTGTACAGTTTGCTATACTTGCATCTCTTCGCACTTAACAAGACTGCATTCATTGAAGCCGTATAAGTTTCACTTCCGAATCATTATACGCTATAATTCATAGATGTATTGCATTGCAGCGATGGCTACAGTCGCACGTGGTGCTGCCGCCGCATGCCCTGTAACTCGCGGAACAATCTTGAGCTGGAGCGAGACATGGCGGCCATCAGGCGGGTGTGTAGCACACGCTAACTAATGTTGATGAATAATATTTTTAATAAAGCATATCAAAATTAAAATATTAGTTAAAGAGAGATATTGAAAATATCCCTCTAAAATAAATGACATTTATCGTGCATGAATCATAAAATGATTAACAAATATGATAATAATAAAATAAGGACGTGAAGCGTTTCCGTACCTCGCTCATTCATAATAAAAAACTAATTAACAACATGTACAGGGGTTGGACAAAATAAGGGAAACACCTGACGTTTTGATAACGTAATTCTTGAATATTTTATCAACAATAAAAACACCGCGACATATTTTTATGTTAGATTTTTTAGATTATGTTAGATTTTTTTTATTGTTGCTGCGAATTTATATTTTACCCTTGCATAGATATTTTACGTAAATTTTTGTGTCTATAATCTAATCTATAACCTATAAAGAGAAAACTTCTCCGACTTTCAAAGAGGCCAAATTGTTGGTGCCCATATGGCAAGTGCTAGTGTGACAGAAATTTCCCGAATGCTTGACGTTTCTAGAGGTACTGTCTTAAAAATAATGACTGCTTTTGAAAGAGGGAAAAACGTCCTCAGCAAAGCACAGGTTTAAACGAAAGTAAGTGAGAGTTGGCTGAGAGACCGTCGGTACCTAAATCGAATTGTGAGGGACAATCGAAAGACCACTGCAGCACCATTACTGAAGATCTCAATTAACACTTACAGAACCCAACTTCTATTAAGACTGTCTGCCCAGAGCTGCACAAATCTGGATTCTATGGAAGAGCTGCAATTAGAAAACCTCTGGTTTCAAATACAAATGCTTCAAAGCGTTTAGAGTGTTGTAAAAACCCTCGAGCATTGGAAAAATTATTTTCTCTGACGAATCATAGTTAACCTTATTTCCAACCCCTGGACGAGTTTACGTTTGGAGACAGCCAAAAGTCATTTAATCACTTACTGCCTTCTTCCAACCGTAAAACATGGCGGGATATCTGTGATGATCTGGGGTGCTATTTCTTGGAAATCTGGCGGACCAATGATTTCTCTTCGTGGAAGAATTAACAGCCGTGACTATTTAGGAATTTTGGAGTACCAAGTTCATCCAATGGTTCAAGCACTGTTTTCATCTTTCAAGATGATAATGAACCCGATCCATATAGCTGGAATTGTTAAAAAATGACACGAGGACCATTCTAATGAAGTGAGCATCTCATTTGACCACCACAATAACCAGACCTGGAATATTTAGCGAGCATTTATGGTCGATTTTAGAGCTGCGAGACAGAAGTCGATTCCCGCCGCCATCGTCTGTAAAAGAGCTGAGGGAGTTTCAACTGAAGAAAATGAATGGGTTAAAATTCCTCTCAAAACAAGTCACAATTTGTATGAATCAATACATCGAGGAATTTAGGATGTAATTGCCGCACGCCGTACTAAAATATATTTTGTGCATTTCTCTGTAGTTTCCCTTATTTTGTCTAACCCTTGGAAGTGCTGGCCGTAATTAAGCATCGTATAATATCCGTCGCAATACCTGCAAAATTTTGGCGTGGTTTCTCTCGAACAAATTGATGTTTCCTTCAAGGAAACGTCAATCATTTGCTTCTGATCCTGTTGTGCTGTACTTGTGTTGCCGAACTTGCAAAAAAATAGGTACTGAATCAGAAGATGATCACCTTCACAATATTGTCTTTGCTGTCGAACAAGAAATTCAAAATTCTAAAATTTTGGTAATGTTCATTAATTAAATAGACAACTTTAATACCTGGGTTTCGATTGCTAATAAGATCACCCTTATTTATAACAAAATGCGTGCCTGTTGAATGAAATGAGTTTGGTTGTCGTAAGTTGTATAGATGATCAAAAGTGCGATGTTTCAGGCTCGAAGAGGACGTCACTCCAAAACTGTTGCTTTCACGCACACTGAGCGGCTGAGTCGACAAGCTAACACGCCTACAGTACAATGAACAGGTATAAAAACCCTTTTCAGATAAATTTTTGAGTTACAATACCCTTATGTGCTTATGATTAGTTTAGATCACATGCTTCTAATGCATAAGTATTCAATTTAGCGAAGCTAATCATTAGCTTATGAATAAAAGGTATCGTTAGTTAATTAATGCTACGTTTTTTAGACACTTTCTACCAATGGTGACATTGAGTAGTCTTGAAAAAGGTAGACTCGAACCAAACGTTTGAGCTTCATACGCTTTGGCTACTATTGTATTAAATTTGTAACGTCTGATGGAGGTTTTAGTTACCAGGCCTTTAAATTTAAATTGCATAGACGAAATTTTATCCAACTGTAAGCAAAGGATTCAAGATATTCAGTTAAAATTATTTTAAAAATTCTTCTGTCAACAGGACCAAAACTGGGAGCACATACTGAGGAGATATTCATCGATGGCCTCCGTTTAGTTCTGCACAAATTAATCTAGTCTCGTTTTGACAGTGCATGTTTAATATCGAATGCTCTCATTAAGCAATTGAATTGCAACTATTTTTTCGATTGACGCTTGAAAAAAAAGGCATTGGACTACATATTGGTCAATAAATAATTTTCATCATAAATGGATGAAAAAGTTCAAAGTTGAAAAACCAAGAATATTACAGAACACAGCGCAATAATCACTTATTACGTTTAGAAATTACAATTATTTAGTCAGAAGCTTGACAAACTGTAACCTCATGCAAACCTCTTGGCACAAGGAAATTAATAAACACACCTTCGATAAAATATAAAATTGTAAAACTACCTACATATATCACCGTTTGGTACCTGTTGAAGATATGTATCAAGGTTGGAACTGATGCACAATTGAGTAAATAAGAAGTGTTGTCCTGAGGTGGTCAAGACTATTCGAATAGCTCATCCTAATGAATTCTTATAATTCGTACACATTTGAAATTCTCATGTATTGACCTAAGCTAATACCAATTGAAGTCAGCGCTTTTGCTAAGATGAAACAATCTATGCTATAAAAATACTTTAAATGAGTTTACGCCCATAGAATATTCAGCAAAATGGTCAATAACTGCAACAATAATATTGTTTGACACTCAATAGAATCGGTATAAACATTATCGGTGCGAGTTTTGAATTAACCTCATTTATCATGATGTAACAAATTTACAGTAAAAAGCAGCTTCATGCATGCATTTACTGAATTCAGAGATCATTCGTCACTGAATTTCACTCAACGATTTTTTCCCTGCATGTAGCAGTTACAGCAATGAACTGACATATGAAAATCAGGCAAAAAATACCTTGGGCAAGGAAGATAATTTCATCGTCGAGCGAAACTTATTATTAAGCACCGAATAAAACCAGAGCACACTCGAGTTACATGCCGATCTGGTAGTGCTAATGAACTTGAGCTTCTCAGCTGCTAAATTTTTCAGTCACGAGAGTATATATTTTCGGATGCGTAATTTAACAAATGCGGCCTGGGTTGACATAATGGAAGCATCGCATTGAATAACTTCTTCTCTTTTGACTAGACTGTGACACTGTTAAAGGGAATGAAACGGAATAGTCTGACTACTTTTGGATACCATTAGGTTATCGAATACTATTACACACTATGACAGCCATTAAAGTTCCTAACGCAGCTCCTGTTGCCATATAAATAGAAACTTTATATAAACTAATATTTTCTTTGGTCTCGTACACCTGGAATGAAGATTCTTGGGACTTATCAGCGATGGCACAGGCAATGTCACTAGATAACGCAGCAAGAGACTCGCCGAGTCGCATGATGAGGCTGCTGGTCTTCTCATGCAGGTCATCAGTGTGCTGTAGAGCTTCCTGGTGCAGCTTACCTGCGTGCAACTCGGTCTGTTGGATGCGTTCGTGCGTGTCACGCGTACGCTTCATGTTTGTCATGATCGCTACCACGGACCCGAACGCAGCTGACAGCAGGGACACCATGAGCGTTCTGCACAATCACAGACACGTCACAAATGGCTCGACTCATCTCTTTGAACATTGTTTAGAACCTTAGCGAATCATTTGTTTGAAGTGAAGATGGAAAAAATGTTTGAAATTGCAGCTAAAAATAAATTTCAGTTAACTATCTTGCTTTTAACTCATAAGAAAGTGGATAAATTGTCTAAAACAAAATAAAAACCATGCATAATTCAAGAAAACAAAACATACCCAAATATAATAGAAATTTACTGTAACACAAAATATGTATTATACATATACATTATATTTTATATATAAACCTGTAATTTGTGTGTTGCTGCTGAGTTCTTTCTTTCTCGTGACTGACACGAATGGCGAACATCACGTTTGTTAGGCATTCGCGTTCACGGGACTCCATCAACTGGAATTCCTTCTTCATTGCTTCTAAATTTGTGAACAAATGGCGAGCCTGAAAAAAATCACACTAAGAGGGTGTTGCATCTTTTAACAACAAATATGGTAACCTTTGCAATAATTTCATATGAATTTCAAACTATTGGCATAAAAGTGCTGTGCTTAAAATAGAATACAAGAACTTGGATAAAAAATATATATATTCACACCTCAAACTCACCAAAAACGATGTTATTCTGAGCTTACTTGGTCAAACAGTTGGGTGTGCTCTTCACTGTAAGGGGTGCTTTTGCCAATACGGCTGTGTACATGATTGAGGTTGTGATGTAATTCACTGATGGTAATTTGAAGCTCTTGACGCTGTGCTGAAATCTTTGACATGTCGTCTATCAACTGTGGAAGAAAAGGTTTGGTTATGCATTAAACATTTATTAGCACTGCATTAAAAAGTGAACACATGGAATAGGATGAATACCGGTACCGTAACTTAAAACTATGTGGGATTACTAATGTATTTATTAAGTGATTCAGTCAGAGAGATTGAAAGTCGAAATTTTACATTGATTAGTATTCCACAAAGGAGTTGCAAGAAAAGACTAATAGTGATGGAGAATGCCAAAAGCAAAGAGCTACATTTTCAAATAGTGAATCAGTATTATGAACAGTACTTTGATTTTAATTGAATACAAAAAAATACTGCAAACACAAAATTACACAATAATGGAATTGCACTAAAATGAGGGAAAAACACAACATATGAGTAAAATTAATTTAATTTTGATTAATTAATTAACTTCAACTACTCACCAAATTGACTCTTTCCTGTGCTTTATGGACTTCTGATATTCCTGCAACATCTTGGTAATAACCATACCACCTGTTGAGAATATCAGTCCAGTCTTCCAGTTTCTGACTTGCAATCGACTGAGTTGATGTAGAGTTGGTAAGTGAAGTATGAAATGACGATAACGATTTGAATGTTTTGTCATTTAAACTTTTAAAGTTAGAAGCTAAACCAAGCAAGTCCATCTCATTTTTTTCTGTTGACTCCTTGTGAGGGATCATACTGGGGTTATTGGATGATTCTGAAGTACTTGGTTGCAATTCTTCAATATTATTAGATGTTCCATTTGCTTTAGAATTTGCTCTCAGACATGAATTTGAGAAATCTGATTCTGAATAAATAAACAAGTTATTATTCCTGTACAGATATTTAAAATTTGACCTTTTACACACATTTTTAGTTGTAAATGACCGCAAAGAAAACATTTTGCAATTTAATTTTTTATAAAAAATGAAACAAATTTGATCCCTTTGCTGAATGGAAAAATGAGTTCCTTGAATTATTTTTCTGTTTACTCCTGCAAAGGTTAAAAATCATTAAAGACATTGACTATGCTAGATATGTTGTCTAAAAATAGAGAACTATTAGTATAGTAATACTAAAAACCTCACATTTACCAGTCAATTACTTCTGTAACTGTGTACATGTATAGAACACTGAGAATACAGTTTTGGATCAAAAATCTAGCATGATGCTTCTCCAGGCTAAGTAAGCAATAACTTGCAGGTACTTTATGCAATCTTGAATTTGATACAATTTATTTATTCATCCTGCAAGGTCTGGACATATACGTACCTACAGTAGGGTGGAGCATTTTCTTTACTCTTTGTATTTCAATTTCAAAATAGTATCGAAAAGTTATGGATGTGCATAAAAATGTGTGCAAAATTGTAGACCCCTAGTTTGATTCTTTCATGATTTGGGGGACATTTGCAATTATTAAAAATCTAAAAAAATATAACATATGTATGAAAATTTTCCATTAGAAATTTTTTGAGCATGTGCTATTTTTTAACTATTTAAAAATTTCAAATGACTCTTGAATCATGAAGAAACTGACCTTAGGTTGGGTCTAAAATTTTGCACGTTGTTTTTTCCAAAAAATTAAAAACATGCTGCACCCTAATACCTATATATTATTTGTCAAAAATAGCAGTGTATATGAAATATGGATATATATAATTGTTCCTTTTAAAAAATTATTGCTAGGATGCTCCATGCCACAAGTAACTGAGTCACTAAATCCCCAAATGTAAACTTCATCATTTTGCTGTAGATTTTCATTTTATAGTGACGTATTTGCAGCTGCACATCTTCAAATTGAACCTCAAACCTCAATATAGAGCTTTTGAAGCCAGGAGATTTCAAATTCATTGAAATTACTTGATTTTTAGCAACAATATTCCAGTAGAAAGTAGAAGTTTTTTCAGTGTTGGAGCAACTTGCCAAATGGCAAACTAGAGACTATTTAGTTGTCCGTTCTTTCTAATTACTTGACCTCTTTCACATTTTCATTCAATATCTTGTGCATAATTCTAATATCTATGATACTTACAGATCTTCTTGTAGATTCAAAAAAGGTCAAAAAATATAACTCAGTATTCACGGCAGTGAGTGACAGAGATCGCATTTTCTTGTCGATAAAAACTTGACGTCATGGATGGACGGCCAGACAGATGGACATGGCAAGCACAATAGTGCATTTTTTCCATAAATGAGAAAATGCGCTAAAAAGAAGTTTCTTATTGGCAACTAAGATACATGCTGCTATCAACAACCCAGAAGATGGAAGCTGCAAGTATAGCCAGGCATAGTAGAATACCTATATCTACCAAATGAGGTATGAGCTACAACTATAGCTTTCTGACCATTTTTGAAGCAATAAGATTCACACTAAATCAATTATTTCCCATCTAATTACCAACAAAAGAGCAGGAGCAGGCAATAAGATTCTAAATTTATTAAAAATATTTCACTACAAAATTTCTGCCACAGGTAGGAAAATTCCAATCTTGAGCATTGCCTGGCACCAGCCTGGAAAATGATGTAGAAGCTACCTATGAATTGGATAAAAATGCCCATACTGGCAAACCAAAGTGAAAAATTTGACAGAAGCCACCAGTGAGTTCTGCCCATTCCTATGGCCTTCTTGTCTTGACAAATTTACCCTATGTAGTGAAAATTAAGAAAATGGCACAGTTATGCCAAATTGCCAATAATTTTCAAAAATCACCAGTGATCTATCCATTTGAGCTGCATATGCAGGCAAATTCTGTCTAATTTTTCAGATAGGCTGGTCAATGTTAGCCCAAACTGAAAGTTTAGATTGCTGCTGGCCAATTTCTGTTAGGTACTTATTTTGATTAAAAGTTTCCAAAGAAGATATGCAGAGATTTAAAATATTATTTTATTTTCCTGCATAATTATTAATTTTATAGTATTATTACATAGTGGCAAAGGACTGAAATGCAAAGAACAGATTTCATATTTTATTTGATTTTCCAGCATATTTGATATTATTATTGCATGGCAATTAGTTTCAAAAAAGAAATTTTTGAAAAAGAAGCTTATTTCTAATTTTCTCATTAATCCAAGATATCACTAAATAGTATCTAATGTATATCAAATACTCAATGCCAATTGCCAGTATGATGATATCCATGATACTAACTGGTCTACATATTAGACCAGTTGCTGCTGGCCAATTATGGTGCTATAGCTGCCGGTGACAGTGATGCATTTTGGGCTTCAACAACATTTTTGGTCTATAAATGCAAAAATTAGTGCCACATTCACTAAACTCTGCACCCTGGGAGTGCTTGGAGTCTGGGAGACTGGGACTAAATGAGGAAATTAAAATAAATATGTCTCCCATTTAGCATTTGCCAATTGCCACTATGTGTTATTGATGATGTGTAACTATGTGTTGTTGATGATGATGTGATAGTGGCAAACCAAAGAATTTTTAGAATCAGTTCATTTCTAATTTCCTTGTCTGCTCAATAATTTAGGGTAAACGCGGTATATTCTGACACATTAAGGACATAGCAAAAATGAATGGCCATAAAGAAATCACCATATGCGCAACTTGAGTTCTGTTTGCTTTACGTCACTCTCAAAACACCACACTACTCGCCAGCAACAATGAAACGTCACAAACTGTTGCCATATTTATTTTAAAGCCTTTAGAATTCAAACCTACAAAATCCCTGAATTCTGACGCTGTGTGTGACTAAATTTGGCATATTGTGAGACTAATTCCGGCAGCGCTTCAAACTCTATAAATTTGTAATTCAGGCACCCTGTGTTGGAATTCCGATGCCCTGTGTGAGCTGTATCAGAATACGACACAGCTCAGAAAGAGCTTCATTAAAAAACTTTAATTTTCTAATTAAGCTTTTAATTAGGAAAATTTTAATTTTTGGACACAGCTAGGAACAAGCTAAGTGTGTCTAATTCCAAGCTGTGTCAGAATTAGTTTTTATATGTCTTGTTTTTATATGTTTTTATATGTTTATATTTTATATGTTTAAACATCAAGCTTACGATTACGTAGTTGCGGTCACATTAGAGCAGTCAGACTGCATTATCACATGTTCAGTTGACACTTGCTGTACAATCGGACTGTTATAGAGTAAAATTAGTTATTTGGGTAACACGTGCATGCAACCTTGTAGTAAATAAGTTTGTGGCTTGTAAATAGTTTTTCGTTACTCAGCATAAATGGCTTTTCATTTAAAATTACCGGTGTCGCATCTTAAAATTACCCGGCGACGCTTAGGGCTTAAAAACCTATATATTGGCAACGCTGCATCCACCCTCTGCGCCCTGGCCATAGGGCAAGGTCAACTATCAACTTAGACACGTTTTTTGATGTTCTCACTGGGCATGGTGGCAGGGAATTATTGTGAGTACTTATCGGTCCACCGCCGTGCGTCAATCTTAACCCTTCGCAAGGCCCCATGCCCTTGGCCCTTGGGCCCCTCTTGCAAGTTGTAATGGTCTAAACTCAACAGTTCGACCCCTGGCCACATCCCCATGGTCTCATCACAACTCCCTTTAGAAATATGTGGAGTTTCGAAATTGATAGTAATAAATCAATAAATATTTGAACTGGGAAATTCCTTAGTTACTTACATTGGTTCCACAATGATATCAATGACGTAAAAAATTACAATGACATCGGTTAAGCCTCACTGCCTCAGATCTGTCTCTTATACACATCTAGATGTGTATAAGAGACAGCCCCACGGCCAGTGTAGCTGTCAGCTCACCTTCTTCAGAAGTGTGAAAGCTTTTGCCGGTGAAGGTGTGTTTTACGATCGGTCCATAAAGAAGTGTTGATCGGTTCAAAATGACATAAGAACAGGTTCTTTTGAATAACCTATGGATTGGCACCATGAATTTGGCACCATGTCACTGGGTGATGTGCACTGTCTCTCTTTGATCTTAACATTTTCCTGCCATACCCAGTGTTTTAGCAATAGTATGGCGTGCAATAGTATGACATCACTATTTCAACCATCAACGAATGCATGGAACTAAGACAGAGCTTAATATAAAGGAAAAATTTTAGAAGTGTCGGAATTACCCATGATGTCGGAATATACTGCGTTTACCTTAATCAATTTCTTATATATGATAATCAAATACCGTAATGCTGATATCCAAGATACTTACTTGCGACTTGCCTATTTATTCGACATCGAATCAAAAATGAATTTCAGGAAATGTAACAAATTATGTTCTTTGTCACTATGCCAGTGACTGGTTGTAGTCTTGTCTTCAAATATGTCTTGTAAGTTGTACCATTACAGTACCAATACCTGGCAATACCGCCAATACGGATGCTACCGCTATCGCACTACGCTACCACATAGCGGCACATACTGTCGATAGTGACATACACATTGACACGGCTGGACTCAGCAATTGCTTTTTAGTTTAAGCCCTCGCCTTCTTTCTTTTAGTTTCATTCTTCTGCCCACAGGTGCCTCCTCCCTAGGTCATCAACAGTCTTTGTGATGTGCGGCGCGCTTAATAGGTACTCAGTGATGGATCCATTAGTACCTCGCGTCGTCGGCTCGTTTCCGGATCGAGTTTCACTGTTTCCGGAGCTAATGTTTACACATAAAATCCGGTGATTCATAAATTTGAAAAAGTGAATGATCGCTTTCATTGCTTAACTGATATGATTGTCTTTCTAAATTTTTCCGAGCTTACATAACACGGTACCGGTTATTTGCATTTCAAATTCTCCTATAATTGCGCTAATTTATACAAATTTCTCTTCAGGCAATAAAGTTATAGACGGAAATTAACTTATATAAAGATTATCTTTATCATCATCTCGTGAGCAAATCGATACTTGAGTGCAAACTGTTAGCAGAATTTCAACTTAATTTGATTACTTTTCTAAAGCTGTAAGACATGCTCAGAGATTCATCATTTATTCTCCAACCCTTTAACGCCCAGGTGTACCGTACGGTCGCCTTTCAAATATGTTCCGTAATATTATTTTCATGATAAAGAATTGGCGCTAGTTGTTTTAAACGTGTTCGATACGCGTCTCTGCTTTGTTTTGGTGGTGCAACTCTGCTCTTTGCTGCCAGTACAGCGCTGATCTTGTAGGGAATTTGTGGTGCCATTGAAAATAAGGTCGTTAGAGGGTTAACTCAATACAGCTCTGTCTTGGATTGAAGACTATTCTCCCTAACTCTCCTGCATTTTTCTGTTCATTCGAAGAAAAATGCTACTGATAGAAAGTATCTTACGCACTAATAACTATGAAAGTTACTCGTGGAGTTGTAAAGTGATTTGTATTTTCCGCTGTCAATTAGGCTATTTCAAAGCAATTCTTGATATTTAAGTTGTTGGGATAATTATTAAAATTAATGTTCTGAAGTTCTTAAAACATCAAACAAAAAGCAAAAGAAGTTTTGAAATCACATGCTCATAAATTCGAAACGAAATTAGTTATGTACACATAAGTAAATAAGAAACACTGAAACTTCCATCAATACTGAAGAGGATATTGCTGTTGTCGCGGTCCATCAAAGCGCGCTTCTCCTTCGTACCTGAAAAAAAATTACCAATGAATACATATGTACTTATTTATATGATTGTGGCCCTATTGCTTTGGATTGAAAGTTAGTCACCACACTGCGTTTTTAGACAAACTACAGTACAAAGCAAACGCTTCTCGAAGAGTGTTCGGGATATGTTAGAAAGAAGGTACCGTATTCGGTATTCTCTACTAACTGGACATTAGCGACGTATCCCGTGTGGTGGTCAGCGGTGTAGGTGACGGTCTGACGTCGTCCGTCTGGCAGCAGCACATAGTATTCGCCGTTGACGGCAGCGCCGTCCGATTGCTCGCTGTGGCCGAAGTCGTTGCCAGAGAGTTCGTCCTTTACGACGTACGCAAAGTCGTAGGGTCTCGGCTGCGAAAATACTAATTGTAAAATACATTTAAAACGTTAGTTTATCTAACATTATGTTACCTAACTAAAATGAAAAAAAGGCTAGGGTATCACAATAAAAATTTTCAGAATAGAAGTGTCGGCACTGAAGAAATAGGCCCATGGCCTGTTGCCGATTCTTGTTCATAGAATATAATAGAAGTGTCGGCACTGAAGAAATAGGCCCATGGCCTGTTGCCGATTCTTGAATTTTTCGTGACTTGATTCACAAGGGATCTGGCCTTTGGAACCCGATCTTTTCATAACTGACGATTGATTGAGATAGCTGCTGGACTTATTGCCTGGTCCGTAATTTGCTAGGCATTTTAAGACTGAACATATGCTCCTGCATAGCTTCGTCTAGTACTCTAGTCTGTTCTTGAAGGCGTTCATACACGGAGCGTCAACGTCAATAGTTCACATTCTTTATTTTTTCTATCGTTTAATGAAAAATTCCGCAGAAGCTATAAATTTAGCGCTCTGCGTAGAATCTTGTACTATAACAAAATTGAGTGAAATGACAATTTTTTCAGTTTCACAATGTTCAAAACTTGAACATACAAATTCTCATAAATGTGTCTAATTTTTATCGCAGATGAAAAGCACTTCTGTGCCACTACCCAGTGGCCAACAATTTAACGAAAAAATCAAATACCAAATATTTTGTAACAAAATCTAATCTGCCTTAGAACTGTCCAACAAAGTGCATTAACGACGCAAAAGAACTGCCATAGAAATCGTGTTTGTACTTTTATTTTATTTTTACAAACTAACTCATTGACAAACATTCTATGAAGTTAATAATGAATGCTAACCCACGTTTGAGCCATGATTGTAACTCTACCTATGCGAATGCCTATGAGGTATAAATATTCTTGCAATACGAGATCTAATTATTCAAGAGAGAGTTATTAAAAACGTTAGAGGTGCGTCATGTTTGCTCCTATGATTTGCATCAAAAAGGTCATTAAACTATGATTATTTTATTATTATTCTTATTAGTCTTAACAGTATTATTAGCATAAGTTTAACAAGGATTGCACTAACCTCGTGATAAGCCAAGGAGCCGTCGGGTGCAGCGTAGCTCAGTCCATCTGAGACCGCCACGAGTATGTATGCGCAAATCTGTCGTGCCATGAAATTAAGTAAAGCAGCCAATGATGTTATTCAATTCAAGTTTAATATAGAAACAACACAAATTTTGACATATTAATTTGCCGGCAAATTATTACAACTGGGAGCGTTAAAAATAAGAAAATAAACACCATCTTACTGAAGTAATAAGTGTGATGAGAAACACGTACAACACATGGACAATTTTTGTAAACCAAATGATGAACTAAATAAAGTATCTATTAATATTGATCAAAGTTTTAAAAGACAGAACTAATCATGAAGTTTTGTTATTATTTCACTTTGGGGTACAATTTTGTGATAATGAATAAATCTAGAATTTTTCACAGATTTTCAATTATCTACGCTAGAAAACCTCATGACACAAAACATGTTGGCTGTCTTCTATTTTAAGCTCATGAACATATCGCAACGAACAGATCGAGTTAATTTCATCAGAATGCAAAATCAGTCAGAAATCTCAGTGCGCCGATTGAGTGTTTACGCTCAACGGAACAAGCTGAAATTATTTTTGTGAGATAAAGAGCGATCTAAGTAACTACCCTAGCCATCGGGCCTAGCTATCTGTTTCGAAATCATTTAACGATTTGGCTATTTAAAGTCAATTATCTGGCTTAGGTTACTGATCAGCAAATAATATCAACTGGACAGTAGACTGAAGTAAATTTTAATTTAACCCTCACCTTATTGGGCAACATTTCGTAAAACGCAAGAAGTCGTAGAAATTTTCGTTCGAATACTACGATGAGATGTTTGTGCTGTGACGTTCAGAAGTCGTATGCAGGTCAGTAAGAAAGACCAACATTATTTATGCTGACGAGGCTCCTCCTCTCACGGTCGTTTGAATTATTTTCCATCGTAAGTTGCTTTGCACTCAATATATTCATGGTAAGCGCTGGACTTCACTGCCTCCGGTAAAATATAATAGAATAAATGTGAGGGTGCAGTTCAAGCATAAGTAACGTTCGTTGGTCCGGCGTTTCACTAGTTCATTAGTTTTAACCTAAATATAATTAAAAATATAGATTAGGATCCATTGGCCTTGCTTTGCGTCTGTTAATTGAGCTTCGCCCGACACTCAAGAAATCGTTAGGCCAACAAATCATCTTTTGCTCACAACCGTTATGACTGTCCTTCAGCAAACAACTTCAACAGACGTTGGCGAGTGGTAATAACATTTTTACAACAGGAGTGTCTCAAAGACTGTCTTCGACACTCCATACTAGGACGAATGACTGAATGGTCCCTAATGTTAAGGGCCTCTTAATTCGAATCGCTTTCGTACGAAACGTGACCAATTATAATCACTATGCAGTGGAGCGTACACCCAGAAAAAGAAATGGGTCATTTTCCATAAAGCGACACTTTCTTACTTACCAAACGAGTATAGAGCGGACATGGCGTTGATTAGCTTCATTGGGATAAAATGACCCACACAAGAGCAACTAAAGCGTCGTTATTTGGAAAACTCGCGATCATTTCTCTCAGTGTAATCACCAAGGTTATAATGAGGTCTGAAACATCTCGAGGATCTGTTTTTAGCGCATTTTCTCTTTATAGAAAAAATGCACTATTGTGCTCGCCATGTCCGTCTGTCTGTCCGTCCGTGACTTCACGTTTTCTTCGATTTTAAGAAGCGGGCATACCTGTATCAAAGATACGACATCTCTAGCTCTAATGCACTGTACTAATCGCAATGAAAACTGATTTATGCACGAAAAATGCGCTTTCTGTCACTCACTGCCGTGAGTACTGAGTTATATTTTTTGTTATCACAAAGTAGCATTAATCGCACGAACTTTGTGGACGCGGTCGACATCATAAATTCATAAGTCTGCTTCTCCTAGTATCTCGGTTTTCTCTAAAACAAACCTTATGCATGGCTAGCGAGTCAAATAAAAGTCCTCAAGGTCGCCCCATTCGTCGGGGTGAGGAAATGGGGGGCCTCAAGCCTTCAACTCGTTAGCGCTAATGAAGGTTAACTATGTTAAGGAAAAGTCGTGGTTCTCGGTCATTTGGTTCAAAACTCAATGATACTCCAATGGTAGTTAACCTTTTGCAAATAGATTTCTGCGACAAAACAATTACCCGCTAACTTCGGACAAGATTTTACTTTGGAACGCGCGTTGTTACAGTTCAACAAAAGTAAAAACCAGCTTGTTTGTAAAAGGTTTTCTGGCAAATATAAAGTTTGTGTACTAAGAAATTGTCAGGTATAAAATTATTTGACAGGATGAGTTGTAGGGTTGGATAGTGTTAGGCTTTCTTCAGTTTACTACAGCTGCTGGGTGATGTTTTTACATGATGAACAGGTATCCGACATACCACTGCTTAAGTGACATTTCGTAAAGTAGAATACGTAATTATCTTCACAATCTTACGAATTCCTGAAATCAATTTGGTTAAACTGTGGTAAAGACTCGAACACTACGACAGCTATGGACGTGATATATTTGTTCTACATTTTGTAGCAAGTAGAATACGAAACCTAAGTCGTCCTTGTAATAAATTATGGTTCGCCCCAAAAAACGTAGGTCGGGCTGTACGTTCACCATCAAATTTCCAAAATTCGTGTGTTGTGTGCTTTTCGCTTTAATCATAAATCTGCCCGACACACGTTTTTTGGGGCGAACCATAATTTATTTTCTACTTTTTAGTCCACAAGAAAAACGTGTTTTTTTTTTAAAGTTTTTTTTAAAGTATTTTAACACGTTTTTTTAAAACGTTTTTCTTAGCTTAGCTTCGCGTTTGTTTGTTTATTTGTTTGTTTGTTTGTTGTTAACATTGACAACGAAAATTAGCCCACTTCTGATTGCTCTAGAGATCTGAAATTCGGCATGCAGGCTATTTTCGCCTAACAATTTCAGATACAATCATAAAAACTAGCAATTAGAGACCTAAATTAGCTTAATTGAGTAAAGTATATTTATATAGTATACTGTATATATATATAGTATGACGTGCGGGCGCTGACGTTATAGACGAGCATGCGCTGACGCTGCGTATCATCAATACTCATCGAACTTTTTAAAAACCACGTTTTTCATGTGTAGCAACGGACTACAAAGGAGAAAATAAAATACTTAAAAAACTTTTTAAAAAAACACGTTTTTCTTTTGGACTAAAAAGTAGAAAATAAATTATGGCTCGCCCCAAAAAACGTGGGTCAGGCTGTACCTTCACCATCAAATTCCCAAAATTCGTTTGTTGTGTGCTTTTCACTTTAATCATAAATTTGCCCGACACACGTTTTTTGGGGCGAGGCATAATTTATTTTCTACTTTTTAGTCCAAAAGAAAAACGTGTTTTTTTAAAAAGTTTTTTAAGTATTTTATTCTTAGCTTAGCTTCGCGTTTGTTTGTTTGTTTGTTGTTAACATTGACAACGAAAATTAGCCCACTTCTGATTGCTCTCGAGATCTGAAATTCGGCATGCAGGCTATTTTCGCCTAACAATTTCAGATACAATCATAAAAACTAGCAATTAGAGACCAAAATTAGTTTAATTGAGTAAAGTATATATATAGTATATGTAAATAGTATGACGTGCGGGCGCTGACGTTATAGACGAGCAGGCGCTAACGCTGCGTATCATCGATACGTACGTCAAGTCATACTTAATCAAGTCTTAGTCGTTTTTCTTGTGGACTAAATTCTAAATTCTTGTGGACTAATTTTCGTTGTCAATTTTAACAACAAACAAACAAACAAACAAACAAACAAACAAACGCGAAGCTAAGCTAAGAAAAACGTGTTAAAAATAGGAGAAAGACAAGGTGAGTTCCGAGTTCAAAAAATCAACATGTAGATCACGCACAATTTTATTCCTCGCCGCAATATCTTCGTATTTCACTAAATAACCAGCACTGATCTACAGTCAACCATAGTACATTATTTTGTCGCAGACGAAGGAAACGAATCAAAGTAAAGTAAACTCCGCGTTCAAGCGATGTGTAAACGTTGATCAGTTACAGAGCGTTGATTTCTAGGCGATCTTGACGTGTTCAATGCAAGGGCCCCTAATTTGGTCTGTAGCAATTCGCCTTTCAACTTGAAAATTAGGGCGAAGTGGATCAATCGAGACGCACATTCATATAATGAAGATTCAATCGGATGAACCTGAACGGTAAATAAAATACTTCAAAAAAAAAAAAAATTAAAAAAACACGTTTTTCTTGTGGACTAAAAAGTAGAAAATAAATTATGGTTCGCCCCAAAAAAACGTGTGTCGGGCAGATTTATGATTAAAGCGAAAAGCACACAACACTTAAATTTTGGAAATTTGATGGTGAACGTACAGCCCGACCCACGTTTTTTTCTGGGGCGAACCATAATTTATTTTCTACTTTTTAGTCCACAAGAAAAACGTGTTTTTTTAAAAAGTTTTTTTTTAAGTATTTTATTTTCTACTTTTTAGTCCACAAGAAAAACGATTAAGACTTGATAAGTATGTCTTGACGTACGTATCGATGATACGCAGCGTCAGCGCCTGCTCGTCTATAACGTGAGCGCCCGCACGTCATACTATATATATACTATATATATATACTTTACTCAATTAAACTAATTTAGGTCTCTAATTACTAATTTTTATGATTGTATCTGAAATTGTTAGGCGAAAATAGCTTGCATGCCGAATTTCAAATCTCTAGAACAATCATAAGTGGGCTAATTTTCGTTGTCAATTAACAACAAACAAACAAACAAACGCGAAGCTAAGCTAAGAAAAACGTGTTAAAAAAACACTAAGCAAAGACTTTTTACAAAAATTAAAGTAAATCAAAACCGAGGAATATTCAAGGAAGTAAAAGATACGACATGAGATTTTGATTTTGTATTTTTTCTGAACATTTTATGAAATTTGACAGGACCCGGAGCAAAATTCCTTAACCAAAATGCAAGAATGCTAATAAAGAGACTCACTGAACATAGGGGTAAGAAAAGGTAATCGCTAATAGGTAAACCACGATCTAGAAAACATCAGCATTAGGCTCATTTACCTAAAACGAACGACCCCGGCTCAATTCCTAAGAGGTAAATACTGACAAACCATGAAAATCCTACCCCAGTCTATCTTGCACTTAGCTTCACTCAGCCAGTATAGATAGCACTATGCTTCACTCAGCATTGTTTGCACCGAGCTACCACGACAAGAGAAATAGATGTTATGAACCGGTTCAAGTAAAAGATCGTCGCTAACCACGATGCAATCAATGTCGATCTGCCAAGATTTACCATGCATATCAATATCATTACAAGCGCTCGGGTAAATAGAAATTGATACCAGGGACGTGGCACTCTAAAACCCATATAGTTCGAATACGAAAGTATCCAACATTGACGCACGCCTTTACAAAAAAATAGCTATCTTTCACAAACACAATGGGGGCCTTGAATATCTTATAAAAATATATATCATTTCGAAAAATTTACATCACATCATTCGAGTCGATACGCCTTCGAAATCAATAAGCCTCATCATGACAAATTTTACGTTCTGTGGCCACACCAACTGTACGGTCTAAATAGCAACTGGATCCTAGTGGAGTCAAAGAAGCCTAAAACATTGGCCGACCGTCGAACGGATTTCTATGGGAATTATGTGTATCAAAGTTATCTATGTACACTAGACGCAGCTCATGCTATGTACATATTCACTATGAATCATCCTGAAAACATTTCTCAACATTATCTCGGCTGAGGAGCAGGCAGCAATTACTCGCGGCCAGCGACATCAGGGTTCGCAATGACATATCACCATAGAAAAAAATACTAAAACTTTACCATGAAATATTTAACCGTAATTCTCACGAGAAAAAATTTGTGTGAGGTTCTCGAGTGAACGGTCATGATACGCACAATTAATTAGAGTTAAATCAGCGGATGAACGTGCGTGTGTAAGAAAACTGATGAGCTAAACAACTTCCATGACAAAAAACATGAGCAAGCAAAGACAGAGCAGAGATATGCAAAAACATCAATGAGAACAAAATGAAACAGACCACTCAAAAATGCCAGGAATACAATAATAGCTTTAATTGTCATTCTTATAATGTGATGGAGAGCCACCAATTTATACCACGATCAACGACACCGAAGAGCGTTCAGTAAGCTACATTTCAATAACCGAACAAATAAAAGTTAAGAAGAACTTCGCTGATATTTCAGTCTTCGTTGAGCAATAAGGCAATATGATGAGAGAAATGTATTTCATCATGAAATTACAGTGATCGGATGAATATTAACAACGCTCAAGGTATGCTCTGGTTCGTCGAAAATAGCACTACAAGAACGACACTTTGCGTTGAAATAAATTGACAAAGAGCAAGATAGAACTAACGAAGAAGCTGTGTCTATAAGGGAACTTTTTATACAAGGGAAAAAGAGCATTTTGTAGACTTCACGATGAAAAAATGTTGAAATTCATACGATCGTAAATACAGCCACGGCGTTTAAATTAGATGAGGCTTTGGAAAGGCGATTTACATTGCTCAAAATTCTCTCTAAAATAAACACTGAAAAAATAGTATTTGCACACATTCGGAATAAAGATACAGTAAAAACTTCCACACACTTCAGGCCACCATCAAGCAAAACAAATATAGCTTGTGACCCGCCAAATTAAAAAAAGAGCACTTCAAGATCACCAAAAAACTCTTCGGAAAAGAAAACCGCGGCTTTCTTTGATCACGACCACATAGAAAGATGAAAGCAGGATTTACAAAGCATGATAATAGGGAGAAAGATTTAGGAAGCTTATCACTGCTACCTCGGAAAATAATTTTTTTTTTGCATTTTTTTCATGATATTTTTTTTGTCATTTTTAAGTTTTATACATTTTTTTTATTTTTTATAGGTACTTATACAATGAAACTTAAATTAGGGTCAAGAAATGCACGCGATTGGCAAGCCAGACATTTCAGCAATAAAATATTTCACATCGAGATAGGGTTACTCAAGTACCAAAAAAAGGGTAGCTAAGCCATGCGCTGACCGACTCTTTAATGTCCATGTAACCATGCACCACTAGCACCGGGCAGTACTGAACTAAAAGAGTTTCCCCTCTGCTCGAAAAACGGTAGAAATCTCACCACCATACAAGAGGTAGCATTGAATTATTACTGAATTTCCAACATGTGGGAGCTAAAATAACTTTAAAAACTCGCCCCTCTTCAAACTTATAAGTAAAAAGTTAAAATAGGACACTTGGCATAAAAATAGTAAAAATACCTATTCCTAGACCCGAAACACATTCCGTTTTTACCAGCAAATTACGATCATAAGTAACATTCCGGTGACAACCCTAACCATTCTCATACAAATTTGTAAATTCGAAACATGAGAATTGGGTAAGAGAACCGCAAATAGTATATATGATCAACTTTCATTAAACTTTACGCCATTCAGCAATCCCGTAAGTATTGAATTGAGAATACCAGGATAATGGATATCGGAGTTCGCTCAGCTGCGTTTGGCCCCATATTAATCCAACAGAAGTGGCCGTACGAATTGCAGCTGTTTAATCTTCTAGGAAGAATTTTTACTTCAGACAAAGCAGGAAAAAACAAAAACGTAATTTGTAGCAAATAAAAAGGGCGAGTCAGACGAGCTTCGTGTTGATAGCAACCATGTCGCTAGCAGACACATACATGAGCCTGGAGGCAAACATCAGGACCACGACGCATGCTTGTTCATTTTTTACTCAATTTGCCAAGCTTGAAAATGACGGAAATCATGATAAATTTGAACGAGAAACAATACATTTGGAGCCGAGACGCATACATAATACTGTTTATAAGCCTTTGATGAATGGTTGGTTGGAAAATGTCAAACAAACACGTTTGGCTATACGAGTCGAGCCAAAATGCAACACACTGCACTCACGGCACTTCAGCGGCGACGCAAAAAAGCTAACGAAGGAAGGAACAACAAGGTGGAACTAAGTACAATCCTCATCTTTCGGGAAATTATGATGCTCTATAGATAAAACGAGTATCTTTTACTGTCATAATGCGGGAAACAAATGGGAACTTTTTAATGAACTCTCTACGGTTAAAGTTCGAACATTCATTAGAATTTATTTTTTTCTAGCGATCGCGATTTTCTTCATCACAAAGTAGACGACAAGCAACATGGGAATAACTCCATATCTTCTCAATTGGACATAATTCTTGCACAGGAGTTGTTTGCACGTCGTGTCAAGCTAAACATGGAATATATGCCGGAGGAAGAGGCACAAGTGTAAGATATAACATCTTGTGTGCCACGGCCATGCACGAACTCGCTTGCGCTGCTCGGTGTTACGATAATGATCTTGTTTGCCATGGCATTAACTCACTTGAGTATCAAGCGGAATTTCGGCACAGAAGTCGGAACGTTGGGCGTGTCTGGAGTGATCACATCCGGTAATTCGATGCTCGAGATTCGCTGCAAAGCAATATCTTTTATTAAAATGATATTTACATACAAATTTAGTACAATCATTTAATTAATAACAATAAAATTGACAAAGCCACAGGTAAAAAATGATAAGATAAACTTTAAAGGATATCACTCAAAAAGCTCTAAGAAAAAATCGGAAGTCGCAGTTAACATGAAACCGTGTGTATTCGTTGGAAACTATTTCTGCAAAATTAGATACAAACAGTGCATTCATTGAAATAATCCATAAGTCTAATTTATAATAAATTCGCTAATATTCAAGTCGTTTATGAGGGAAATATTGCACAATGGAAAACATGATCGCGAGAGGTGGGCATCTCACCTGTCTCGCAAGTACGAGCTGCGGAGGTTTGTGCATGCGGCGACTGGCAACACCTACAATGGCAGCTTCGGTGTAGCTGCTGCCTTGCTTACACATATTAGAGTTGCCGTCCTTCCTTCGTTTGGTGCTGGGCATAACGGCTGTGCATTTCCGGCGGTCCAAAACAGGCAAAGGAGGAGTACTCTCTTCAGTGTGCATTTCGTCGCAGTTCTTAGCGTTCTTCGACGCTTCACGAAAGGGAGGTAAGGAAGGGATGAGAATACCGGGGAGCTTGGTAGCTGAAGGAATAGCGCTTTCAGCTGTGATTGGGGGAAGCGAAGTGGAAGTCGACTCGCATGATAGAATACTGGGCTCAGCTGAACTCGTCCCTTGCTCAACTGCGTTACTACAACTGAATTTCAGTGGCTGAGGATTCGTAGAATGAATAGTGAGACTACTCCTACGCATGCTGTTCGCCAGCTCCTGAGGATTTGCGATACGTTCTTCGGACTTCGGAACATACGTGGGTGATTTAGAAGCGGGATTCGTGGAGGGAAGTTTATTTTCATTCTTGATGTTTTGTGAATGCGTATGATGGTGTCGAGAATTCTTGCGCTTGGTCGTGGCAAGTTCTTCCATATCCAGAGATGCATGTCCATTTTCATGGTGAGATGATAGCGAAAGGCTAGAGGAAGTTTTCTTGAGAGGCGAAGAGGGCGGCGTTATAGCACAAACACTATTCATGTTCCTAAATACGGCATGACTAACTGGGACGTGATTCAACGGCACACTGAGATTACCTACAGAAGAATCTTCAGCCTGTGATTTCACCACTAGAGAATTCTTCGCTGCCCCTGAGTTTGCAATAATATTGCTAGGAGGTATTGTAGAGTTGGCTTCAGAATTATGGATAACGAAGGAGCAAGGAACGAGAAAATCTCCTTTATTGCTGCAAACGTCCTTAGGTTTTTGCACTTGAGACGAACTTTTTCCGTCTTCCTGCAGAGCTGCTGGATGCAAGCACGACTGAGGCTGATTCGGGGTGATTTCACGTCTGATATCGTTTCCAGCGGTGAACGTTTTTATGCTCCTAGAACTGCTGCTATCTGTGTTGTAATTCTCTCCGTCCGTTTTAACTGCGGTACTATTTGAAGGAGGTTCATTTCTAATCGATTTGCCTGAGACTTTCAAACTGCAAGAACTTTGAGTGCTGTCGCTCCCTCTAAGATTCCTATCCCTGCATCTTCTATTGTCTGCACTCTTGTGTTTACACGACGCATGATTAGAACTTTTCTTATGCTTACCGCAGGCAGATTGTTTCTTTGAGCTGGCTTCACTCAAGGCATCACTGTTATTGTTTCGGTCATAAGGATTACGAGTAGAGTCGATAACAAGGTTGGAGATTGACGCCGACAAATCTCCCATCATTCGCCCGTTACCAGGCGCCTTGTTCATCAATGAAGGATGAAGTAACGATCCAGACGACAAAGGTAAGGATGGGTACTGGGAAGGTAGAAGAGGGCAAGGATAGGCACCAGGATATGCAAGTGAAGGAGGTAGGACAGGATATAAAGGTTCCCCGGTATAGTGATGAAATGAAGGCACGCCTAGCGGATGGAAAGGTGCCGCCATGAAGGCTGCCTGAGGGGCGTGAAAATTCGGATGCCCAGGAATTGGCAGCGGATATGCCGGCATCCGAATGGCATTAGCGTTTGAAGACTGTATTTGTAGCAGCGATTTCGTGAAGTGATTAGATGCCACAGGTGGAATACCGTGGTGGTTATTAATCAATGGGTGTACGGATTGGTGTGAAGCGATGGGATACCCATTACATTCGGTTAATATGTTCTGAGGGAATATACCAGGGTTCAGATGATGGGCGAACGCAAGTGAATCTATAGTTTTCTGGTCCAACTGATGACCTCCATGAAACATTAATGCATCGCAAGAAGTTCTGGGTACAGACGTGGTCGACGGTAAGCCCTGAGACGGCAACTGAGAAGCATGAGGGGAGCCTGCATTGGCCACACATGGGGACGAAATTGAGGTCGATGATGTCTTAGAATTTAATTGCTCACGACTATTGGCAATTTGCTCTTTGCGCATTTGCAATTTAGATTCTTCCTTCACTTTAGAAATTCCTCTCCCGTTCTCCAATGAAGGCATCGATGCTTGTAGATGAGGTTCACAGACCTGCAGGGATGACATTTGATCACAAGATAACGCTTTTCGGGACATGCGTTTCAGAGGTGATTTAGAACAGCCCTTGGATTTGGTGGAATGTTTTACGGCGTTAGCGTTCGACTTTGATTCCTTACCCGAAACTTCTCCGTCAGGGCCAGGGCTGGGAGAAACTTCCTCTTTTGACACAGCAGATCGTAAACCCTCTGAGGGTTTTGAGGAACTCGCGCTCGTGCCACTACCCTGACAACATGAAGCATCCTTAGCTGGCACCGCGGCTGATACTAGCGTGAACTTGAAAGAGAGCAAATCCTTTAACATCGACTTGCGGCTGCTGTTGCTTGAACTCGCAATTACTTTGTTCATCGTCGATGGACTGTTATTGTTACAATCAACCGTGGGCTGGATAGTGGGATCAGGGACATCTTCAAACACTTCAATGCTATTTCTCCGCTGGACATTAGCCACGGTCTCGGGTATTTTTTCAGATGAACCGCAAGCTGCAGAACGAGGCAAGCGTTCACCAGCATCAAGATTCGGCAGTGCCTTACCGGTAGGATCATCCATAATTGGGGAATAATTATTTTGTAAACTTGACCCTGCATCTGACGAAATTTCCAGTTTCTCTATCATTACATCTAGAGAAGGATGGGAACATGAGAGAGGTTCATTCTGTTTGGGAGCACAATTTTCATTTAATACTGTCAACTGAGAAGACTCGACAACTTTTTGACGCTTTTCTGTTTCGAAATTATCTTGTTCGTTCCCAGACTTAGCAATTTTACTGACTTTAAGATTGCATTTCTGATTAGCACTTGTGCCATGATTTTGAGGTTTTGAACTCCTACTGAGACTGGCACTTGCCGGGATTGCTGAAACATCAGGATTAGAACTTTTTCTTCTGTGCAACTTGCCTGAGTGGACCGCAGATACTTTTTTATTATTATCCTTATCATTATTATTACAATTATTCGAAACACTAGCTGTTTTCTTTCCACTGGAGGTCGCGGTGTCAGCAGCACAATCTGCTGCATCGCGTTTTGTGAAGCCATTTGGATAAGCGTTGGATAACTTCAACGCAACAGCTTCCATGCTACATCTATTCTGGTTGATCTGTTGCTGGTGACTGCGACTGAGGTAAAGAGGATCAGTGACCTGCTCCCGAGACTGGTACCCGAGTTCAGAGTCTCGCATGAACATAAAGTTGTGTTCGTCGTGGTGTTGACGTTGATACGATTGTCCATAATTTTGTTGGCGATGCAAATCAAAGGGTTCTGGACCGTACATGAAGCGCTCTTGCGCTCTCTGCTGCTCCTTCATATGCTGTTGCTGCTGGTTGTGTTGTAGTTCAAGGTTGAAAAGATGTTCCAAGTGATCACGCTCGTGATTCAGAAGCATTTGATTAGAATAATGCGGATGCTGCATTTGGTTTTGATACTGTTGTTGAAACTGATGTTGCAGCATGGAGTTTTGAACCATGCCACAATAAGCGGCCAGAACATGAAAATCAATCTCAGTGCCAGCAGCAACACCGACTTTCGGTTCTGTCATACCAGCCAGAGTTTGGTCGGGCAGGCTTCGTGTGTTGCCATTAATTAAAGTTCTTGCTTCCGTTTCCTGCTGCTGCTCGCCCCGCCTGGGGTCGCATGAATCTATTCTGCCCTCAGTTTGTCGGTACAAGGCCTCATGGTCTACAAACTCCATACCACTGGTATGTGTCATGGCACTCATATTCGATCCATTATTACTGTTCTGAAGAACTTTTCCTTGCAATTTTTCATCGAGATTAGAACACTGTTCCGAGTTCTCAGGGTAATCGATGCTTTGACTGGATGTGATTTCATTCATGTTTGGGTTTTCACTCCTACCATTTCCGGATTTCCTTTCGTTGGCATAGTTATTATCAGAATTCTTATAACAGTAATTATTTTTGTCACTTCTGCCTTTAATGTTTTGGTTTGAACTAGCACGTGCATGGGATTTATCCCGATTCTGGAACTCAAGAGCCAACTCCTCCGACTCTTTGGACTTGTTGGCGCCGAAACGTGATCGCCGACTTGCGTTGAGGCCGTGCTTGCTGCTACGATTGTGTTGCCTAGAATTGAGATCGTGTGAAACTGGTGGCAGTTTTGGCCACCCTCTACAATAATCAACTGCGCCGTGATGTGAACTGGAACTAAGCGATGATGTTACATGGTTTACGGATGTGGAGATGTTTTGATTAGCCCGTCTGTTACGATGGTTCTCGCTCCCATTACTGCCAAATCGGTTGCTGCTGCTACTCTTGATGATCAGTGTGAACTGTTGCTGCAAGGATAAAAGAAAACAGCGTCAGAATATGCAGTCAATTTAATTATACAAGAACAGCGTACAAGCAGCATGAATAAATCTTTACTGGTAGAAACATTCCTAAAGATTTTAGTGAACATTCCTGAGTAATTTGTCCTCGTACAGTGCATTGTTTTTGCTCAACAAAAAGTTGACAAAATATTCGAAGAGATAAGAAGGTGAGAGAACAACAAGATTACAGGCTGCTCAGCAGGTAGAATTCATATTCTATTGTTGGACACTAACCTTGGTAAGTGAACGATTCACATCAATGTATCTGTATAAACGAAAGCCTGTGCATTCGATAAAGAAAACGCATCAAGTTTGAATTAAAAAATATGAAAAGATAACCCAACTTCTAACGAAATGCAAGACTCTTTAGCGAAGGCGCAAGAAAAGCTCGTGGAATAATGGTACTCAATTTAAGAGTAAAGTCAAGCGTGAAAGCAACAATGCAAAATGGCGATGTATTATTTGTTGTAACGCGACAACATCTACGCACGTTCAACACTCGTATAGATCTCGTCACTGACACCAGAAATGAGACTTCAGCGAGAAACCTGAGGTTCACGAAAAATGTCTAACGCATCACATTTCAGAACAGAAGAAGGGCAATACACTAACACGTAGCGAAAAATTGAACACTCGGAAAACAACATATGTAAAAAAATTGGGGTTATAATCACCCGAAAATACTGAAAACGTATTTAAAACTACTTGTGCATGTCATTTACAGATTCGTCAATAAGAACACTAGTAAATAACGCGTCTCATAGGGTACCGCACTCTTAGATCAATTATCGCTTGCTGGACATAATAGAAAAGATTCACAAGCATGATTCTCTAACTCTATTGCTTCAGTTTGTGCACGTATGATGCGGCTACAGTCAAGAGAGTGCATGTTTATAAACAATTGTACTGTGGATCTTTGAAGCTTACTAATTCTAATAGTGAGGAATATGATCTAAATCAACGGCTGGAATAATGGAGAATGAAGTACCGTTCGGTGCGGTGAATTGATCATGAAGAAGAGAAATATTTTCAGAATTAAAATGAAATAAATATGAGATGAACCTCAGCTCTGGTTTCCGATTCCCTAAATACTAGGAACCCAAGATCAACTAAAAACATATCATCTTGTAAGTTTTGAAATGAGGAAAGATTGAAATTTCCATTTAAATACAAACTAAAGGAAAGAAATTAGATGAGCAAAAGCAATTAGTAAAAAAAAAATAAAAACAGCTCACAGTCCTAGGTTCAGCCATCAAACACGGCTGGGCTGTTGTTCAGTGCCACAAAACTGTAATTGGAATGAAGTTTCATTGGAATGAAGTAAATTTAATTTCAAGTGGAAGAATTTCATTTCAATTGGAATGAAGTAAATCGAGATGAGTTTCACAAGATGGTACACAGAAGCACGGACCGCAATGCAGCGCGAGGGTAGGAAGGTAAAGAGTTCCGTTGATGTTAACGTAACGTTCGTGAAACGCAATTGTCTTCCCAAAACTCGACACGGAAAGACCAGGATCACGGCCAGCAGAACGCCTGCATTCGTCGTGCAGGCTCAGTCGCTCAGAGCGCCGCTTCAGAAGATAATAAATCCCAAAGACCCTAAGTCGAAAACAAATTTTGAGTCGCATGACAATATCAAAATCACTTAGGCAAAAATAATCGAAATGGTGGTGAGCAAAATGATCAAACAGGATTTAGGGTTACAGAAACATTGTACGAGTAATCTTTGAGTAGTACCAAAAAGTTTGCATTCTCTTAACAACGAAGTTAATTGAATGACAGAATGACTCGTTCAATTTAGATGCTGATGTTCTATGAATAATAATTAATAATCGAATTGAAGGTAAGCGTCATTCAACGCATGTGGACGTAGTGACAATATTGGACCTGACGACTCGAGTATTACAACTATAACTGAAGTAAAGAATACATTGCATAATCGAACCACACGACACATTTGCGAGCCTAAATCTGTAATAAACATGTCAATTAAACGCAACTTGCAGAATTTGACGACAATCAGTACCTTTAATAATTTCTTGGTTTCATATTTACAAATATTACGAAAAAACAACAGCAAAAACTTTAGGGGACAAATGCAGTAAGCAATAGTAAATACTTTAGATCTTGAAGTACAGATTCCTAACCAAAACTTGTAACGATGTCACTTCTTGCTTATAACAAAATTACGTATAAATTATTGGAAAGGAATGTAAGATATTTTGAAGTATTGAAATACCTAATTAATGTGAGGAAGGCTATTTTCTTTGTCATGAAATGCCCAACAATTGTGTGTCTAAGGCGCTCGAGACACAATTTCACGAATGAACAAAAAGGCATAAAACATGCGGGATTGAAAACTTACCATAAAATGATGAAACTTGAAATATATTTTCTGATATTATAAGATTCTTTACCTCAAGCCTGATTGAAATTGAACAAAATAATAATCTCTAGAAAGCAGCACGGCGTATCAACACATTGCTCAGGTTAGCATGCAAAATCAAAACGTTCCATAGGAACTATGCATGGGATTACACTTTAACTGCATACATATTGTGAGCCATCAGAGCAGAACAAATCCTGAATAAAAGCAATACAATCAAATGATTTCGAAGAGTTAGTTTCCCATTACAATACAGCTAAATAGTAAAACTAACTCAAAAACACCACAGAAAGATCAATAAAAGTACTGAAAAATAACTAGAGACTAGTATCTACCCAGAACAAAATAGTCATTAGTGCAAAATTAAAATTAGTTTACAGATAAATCCCCCTCGAATTTCTACTTAAATCCGATGAGCGGTCTTAAGTAGAAGCCTAATAGGAAGTTTTTAACGAATGTTTTTGTGTTAAAATACAGGACAATGAACGAGATGAAGTAGTTACACTACGAGTTAGTGACCCCAACTTACTACGGATGTTTCGGGCTGGGAGAAGGTAATGAAGGCACAGCCGAGTCTCAGCTGGACAGAGGTAAGGGTTGCTGCAATGCACAAGAAACCGTGAGCAGCTTTGTCTCGGCACAAAACATCAAATATAATCAAGTATATAAAATATATTATCATCAATTATTACACCAACCGAGTATACCAACGCTGGTTGAGTTATAGTTATTATGTTTTGAAGGCAGCAATCACTTTGATAGAAAATGGGCAGCATATACTTATATATGCACAAATGAATAGACCCAATATACATTACTTATTCGAATCATGAAAAATAACTACATTTGGCAAAGACAAGCGTGACAAGAAATCAGAAATCAAACGATCAAGAGCTTAGTTTGAATGAGACTAAATTTATTAAAATATACAATTTGTATAAGTTTCTATTTGATTTAGACAGAACTAGACACTGACCTGCGTAGAGGGAACTGTAGAGACAAGCGCAGAAGCAGGAACAGCAGAAGAAAGAGCAGGAGGCTTGCTAGCCGAGCTGCTGGTCGCCTCACAAGACCTGCTGTCGCCGTTACTGTCGCCGTTCACGCCGTCAGGAGAGTCTAAATGCTGTGTGGCGCGGCGATAACATTACAAGATTCCGTGATCTCGTAATATCATTGCACAAAGCAATGAAACGAATATGAATTCTTTTCGATGAAATGATCGATTGTTAGATTAATAGAGCTCCCACATTAACTTGTGCTTGTTGTAAAGTAGGTATAAATCTTTACAGCAATGGTTCCCAGCCATTTTTAGCTTACTTTTAGGCCCCGTCGCCTCGTACCACTATAATTAGATATTAGCAAAATATTTATTACCAATAGTTACATTCTACGTAGCTTACTAAATGTGGCGATAATTAACACTCGAGGTGTATGTACACCGTATTAATTTAAAGGTGTGTTACTGGGACTAAACGTGTGGCAAGTGGTAACGGTTTTATAATGCTGCCAGATTACCTTAAATTAGGCAGAAAACGTTTGGTAAGTTATAAATATCTCATTAAACATCAATTGTTTATAGTCCATAATTTGAAAATCTGCCGCAAATCACAGGTTGGGAACCACTATCTTACACGCAAAATACAATTTTTTAGATAATTTAGATACTATAATATATTTTTCAAAATAAAAACAAATTTTTAGAAGAAAAAAAATTGTTAGCCCCCCACAACAATCTAGATTTACACCACACAAGAAAGATGAAAAATAGCAGTTGAGTTGGAATGCACTCGTTAGCGTTGGTCCCTTGAGATCAAATAACCTGCAGTAAATACCACCAAAGAGATGCACATACCCAAATTTAATCAAGAGATGATGCACATAAGAGCATTTGCTCAAGGCGAAAATTAATTTTAAATTAATTTGCGCGCGTTCATACCATGAGGGCTAGACAACTACGACCATAGCGAGCACCAAAATAGAAAGAATGATTTTACTTCAATATCCCTACCAAGTATTCCCAACACAGATAATGTCATAGTGAGTTAAAATAAGAAGATCGCATGGAGTGCCACATTACAGCCCTACGTTCGAGAAAAGTCGCCATTCATCACTGAACACCAGTAGAAGCACCTATTTTTGACAGCCGGATATATTTGGATGTAAATAAGCAACTGGTCCACACACTGAGTGAACTAATGAATCATGTACTGTATTAAATACACAGTATTATACATTGCTCCCACAAAATATCATGCAGTTCGTATCATGAATGCCGTAAAAGGCTAGTCGCTGGTCGCGGGGGAAATGAGGCGATATCTTACCTTTGTTTTGATCCGCTTAGAGTTGACAGAAGCGGCTTCAGCTTCGTGGGCGGGGATCTCGCCGCTTGTGCTCTTGCGCTTCCCACCAGTAACGCCTTCCACCACCTACAACAATACTTCTAATGAGTATGTGGGTACAAATTTATTTCTTTTACATGAACTAACTTAAAATTTCTTAAGTGTTCTAAACCGGTGATTAAATGTCATGAAAATATGATTACCCAGAGCAACTATAATTTTTTTAAAGAATGTAACAATTTTTTTTTTTTCAAGATAATGTACTGAAATTTCAAACTCGAATGAGGCCAATCTTTATCTTTCATCAAAAAATAAAAAATAAAACAGCAACACAGAAGTATCAATTTCCCTGTCACCTGGTCAGAAGATGATGGCTCTTCAGTGCTGATGTTGTTAGAGGAATTGTCAAAAGAAGCTGTTGAGTTATTGTTGGAAGTTGAACTTGAGGAATTGAGAGGATATTTACTCTTGTATTTCTCTAGAGTCTCGGCCGAGAGATAATTTGTGAGCTGTTTCCGCTTAACATACTTGCAGTTCACCTCCATACCATCCTTGTACGCTTTGCTTGCCGTGCTGTGCTTGTATACTGCATGTGCAAGGGAAAATAGCTTTCTTAAGGACAGTAATTGCGCAAATTTAGAGGATAAACATATTAAGATTGGAACTCCTGTAATAATAATTTAGTGGCTGCTTATAATTAGCAGCTTCTCGGTGAATTGAAGAATAAAACATTGCTTAACAACATATCATGTAAAGAAGAAACATCACTTAGAAAACTAAGAATAAACAAGTGAGAAATACAGCACTGACAACGTTCTTAGAAATAACAAATTTTTGTGGTTAGTTGTTGGAAAGTCTAATCTGAATCTAATCTTTGTTCTAATCCTTTAGTCCAATCTTTTGTTCAAAGCCTACTCAGCCAATGAATATTTCAATAAAAATGACTTACCCACTTCGACGAATTTGTTGATATCGCTTGTAAGGTCTATGTTGGCATTGTGTTGCTTATTGAAGTCGACTCCTAAGAACCATACGGTGTGTGGTTTATTGTGATACTCCTCATCAATGGACGTGAGACCAGCTGGGTTGATGTGCACGGTGCTGATCGAAGGGTTGTGCTCTAAACTCGAGATGAGGTGACGAATTTTGGACTCGACAAGACCGTACCACTCAAGGTGATCTTCTGGGGTGCGAGCACACGCTATCGTCACCAAGTAGTGTCTGACAAACAAATTTTAAATTAACTTTCGGAACTTAAATTCTCTGCCTGATCAGAGACAAGCACGCATATGTAGCTATAACAAAATCAATGATCAATGTAACTAGTTTCAATATTACCCATTTTAATAAATTGGCAAGATCATTTATTAGCAGCGGCTGGTTTGTGTTTTATTCACTTTGATCTCCGGGATTACAGTATAAATAGAGTGAACTCATGAAAATGAAAAAAACTACGGAATTTCCAAAGGCAAAATTACAAAAATTGAATTGATAGCCGTCATTGCCCTACAGTCATTGCGACTTGCAGACTCACTTGTACTTGGAGAAAAAGTTTGGAGGTTGGAATAACGAGTCCCAAGGCGCCTTATTGAGCATAATGTCCTCTGTGGTGAGAAGGCCGGCTTGGAACTCTGCCACCATCACATTGCGCGTGCTAACTGAGGTGTTGAAGGTCGAGTTTTGTTCTGGGTATGCGGGGGTGATGATGGGCATCAGGTGGAATCTGTCCTGGACGTTGACGCGAGGGTCCCACACCTGAACACAATATTTGCATCTTAATAATAATAATGCATCAAAAAGAGGTACAATACAGTACGTTGACTAGCTAAACAAGTGATGTTTGAGAACTAACCTAACCAAAATGGCTCAAGTTAGTTCATGATATTCATTACACCACACCTTGCAAACTATGAACAATTCAAGCCCCATGTGTAATTTTCCGACCATCTCGTTTTGCAAGAAAAAAAATACACTGCTAGTGTTAGTTCGAGTAATGACCTTAAATCCTAATTTAGGGTCGACAGGTTGCTTGAGGTAAACGGGAGCTGGCCACGCCCATTTACTGAAGACCAGGAAGAACTTCTCGACGAGGGTGCTGGCGGCGGCGTTGGGGTAGAGCTGGCAGGTGCGAGCGACCAGCATCGCCCACGACACGCCGCCCAGGTAACCTAGCACGTTGCTGTACACGCCGTGGCCTGGTGCAAACAACTCACAATAAATGGCTTTGTTTTAGACACAGTATACGCATAATTAAAATGTCAAGGAACAACTCGAAATTAGAAGTATTTGATGATTAAGATTTGATTATTTTACACATGTCTTCAAATAATGCATATTAAAAAGCAACAAATTTAAAAGAATGTACAATTACTAAGAGATATACTCCATCTCGCTATGGCTGAATCATTTATTCACCTACGTAAATGTTTTCAAATGAAAATATTTTTAGAAACTATTACATACATTATAATTAAATCTAAAGAAGAATTTCATTAGGAACTTGAATCATTCAAGACGACACTGTCAGACAAAACAAATGAAAAAAACTTTTAATCAAGTTTGGCAACAAGGCAAGTTATCAAAAAACTAAATAAAACACGTGCAGCAAGTTAAGGGCTCCAAAACATCATGCCTGACATATTTTAGAACAATGCTGCTTGTTGTTCAAAGTCAAATCGAGGTACATTTTTCGGGACATTTAGTAATTCTTATGAAAACTTTACAGTCATGTCATAAACCCAAAATTCGAAGCAGCAATGAAGTAATGCAATTTCATCTCATGAAATAAAGAGATTTTTGTACAGTAGTCATTCCAAAACTACAGAACAAAAAAAATGAAGCAATTTCTTACGTTTAGCCCAGAGTTTAATGGCGCGCAGTGCGAGTCTGAAGCTGTTCCTGGTCGGCACCTGGTTGAGAATCTCGTCTGTCACGCGGCAGCCGTTCAAAGAACGAACGCATTTCTCGTCCAAATTCTTCAAAATCTGATCATCCATTAGGTTGACCTGCACAAGCATTCATTTTTGAGGAAGGATATGACAAGTATTATTTTCAAATATGATCAAATATATAATTTTTGGGAATTTATATTACCGACCATGACTTGAGACATTTTAAAGAGCCCATGTCTGAGAAAGGAAGAAGTAAGATTGAGCTGTGGTATACATAATTGTTAGGAGTCTAACAAAGCAATAACTATGACGGCCAATAAATTGTGCAATATAAATCAATTTTTGTAGAAGATAAAACCCATAAGCACATTATAGGATCCATCTATTTCCAGAAATTGTAGCCGCTGCAATGTGATTAGAAAGATAAAACAACCAATCGTTTCCAAATAAAATTTTATCTAGGTACTGATTATAAAACGTGAATATCAACAATAAATTTTCAGCAACAATATCATCATTAAATGGGATTTAATAATGATATTTTAATAATAACTCATTACAGAAGAGACCTCAAGCTATGTCAATCATTCTGACTTGACCGGGGTAGAAAAAACGTAACAAATGTCAAGTGATGTTTGTTAATGAAGCAAAAAACGTAACACTCACATCATCCTTAACTTCCTTCAGTGCAAGCCTGGCAAACAGCAAATCTATCTCAATGCCCTCATACTTCATCTTGATTACTGGAACAAACGCATCTTCAACAGCCTGCACAGAAAACATTGTTAGAATATTAGGTATATTTAATATTTAAGAACATAAAAATGTTCTTATTCATGTGAAATCATTTACAGAAGAAAGATATTTAGTACAGTAGATGGTACAATGAATAGTTAAATCCTGTTAAAAGCATATTCATCCGATAGAGTAAAATCAAACTCCAAATAAAATAATATGCAATTTTCACTAATCATGCAATGCCTGCAAATAATAATTGATTTACAAAGCTATAATGTGTTTCCACACACCATGGAACTCAAAATATGCATTTTAGAAATGTTATCTAGGCATAGAATAAGTAAAAGTTGTTATCTATTGATAACAAGAAAATTGACGGTTATCACACAAGTAAACAAACATTAATTTCTGAAATCTTCAAGAATACAAAGGCAATCAACTCACTCTGAGTTCTGTAACCTCAGGCTGTTCCTTAAGAATATCATAGAAGGAAGTGAAGTAATCTTGTCTCTCAATGTGTCGTGGAGCCACACACAGAGCGTCAATATCTGCACCTCTCCCAGCAACTCCCAATCTGTAGGAGCCAAACGTGCAGATCTTCCCGCCCACTGTGTCCGCAATCTGAGAAGGTCATGAAAATTTTCAGCACTAAATCTCTAGGTAAACATCAAAATCATCATGCATAACTACTACACAAAAATTTGCTAAAGAATTATTCTAATTCAAAAATTATTTGATTTAAAGAAATTCAATTGAATCAATTCAATCTAAACCTGGTATTAAATACAATAGAATTGATCATAATACTCTTATGAAGTCACAGGAAATTTCAAGCATTCACTATATTAAATTCTTGTAAGATGTTAAGAAAATTGGAGTCTGTGTGACATGTATTTGCAATTTCAAGTCTTGTACAGATTTATGTAGTCATACATTTGCTAGATTTCACCCGAGTACAATATGTAATCAACTGTGAGGCACAAGCAGCAAATAAAAATGTATAACCTTTCAGGATACTTGCCCAATGAAGAAAATATTTTAAAATAGTCTCAAGTCAACTTTGGAAAGCTAAGCTGCATTACCTCAACCTGCATCACTCATTGATTAGTCTAAATTTGAATTTTAATTCAGGACATAATACGCGAGTTTAACACGTTGACTACGAAGTGGTACATGTGCATACCACAAAATGTATTTCTCCAGGACGTAGTGGTACATAATTCAGGTTGCCTAAAATTGGCCAAATCCGAGAACAAAAACGGCCAAAAAAGGCCAATAACTCAATATATACTAGTTTATTTGTAGGTTCCGCTATAAAAATTCCATTTATTTTCTTTTAGTAGTATTTAAAATTTAATTCGGAAGTACCACTATCATAAATTTTAGCCGGCCAACGCAATTGAGAAAAACTAAGTCACAATTTGTCCAGAAAAAATGACCATCTGGCAACCCTGTTAAAAAACAGTACAAAAAATGAAATAATAGTACCGTACAAGATGAAACAACCGTAGTCAACGTGTTAATGCAAGCTAATTATCTGTCTACCATTAAGGGCTCATGAACATGTACATATATACCTGTTCTGGCATGTTCTTGTCCAGGCTAACTTGACGTATCCAGTCCTTTACCAAAGTGTTGAGCTTCCCAAGGACTTCAAATCTGTCACAGAAGAGGAGAAAGTGTTAAAAATTCGAACTTAACATGCTTCTAAATTCTATGATCTGATAGAAGCTCTTACTAATCAAACTAAATATACAAATTTTTGGTCATGCCAGCTCATGAATATGATTCAACACCAGCAGTTCTAACAAATTTGAAATATTACCAATATAATATCAAACATATCCAGAAAATATTTATATAATTAATTCTTCTTCATTGCAATAAGAAGGAAATATTAGTGGAATCAATTATTTCAACTAATTAAAAAACAGCAAAGTCTGGAAAAAAGGTATTGAATAAAAAAATTTATAAGCTTCAAAATAGGTCTCACCTGTGTTGTAATTCTTCCTCTGTCTCGAACATTCCAGCCTCCTTGAGATAGGCTTCCAGTTCAGCAGTCTTGACATTGTCCTGATGTTTGGGCGCTGCCAGGCTTATGGCTGAAGTCATGCCAAGAGTGCGAGTCTTGTCAGTGCAGCCTACACTACTATTCCCTTCCATCATGCTACCCAAGTAAATTATTCTGAAAGTAAATTATGGATGATATTCAATTATTATTATTTTATGAATGATATTCAAATATACAGTCAAAAATGTTGAGCTCAAACTGTACCATTACTGCAGTTTCATTTTGTATTATCCTAGACTGAAATTCAATTCTTTATCTGAAGAAGCACAGTGGCTTACAAGAACCAGTTTTAGGAGGACATTGCACTATCAACAGGACAAGATAATACAGCTCTGTAAAGGTGAAAAACACCTATGCATCAATGACTGGCATAGATTGATGAAGTAAAAAAAGGTAAATCAATAAGCCAAGTTTTGGAATTGACAAGTCCAAACAAAACAAAAAAATTTATAGTTATACTTAATTTATTCGCTGATATCTCATTTCATACAATTCATTCTGAGATCTGAAGCAACAGTTATACAATATAAACAAATCACAATATGGGCTCAAAAAGCAAAGCCAGGGATTTCTGACTAGACCTGAATTCAATGATTTATTCAACCATCCAACATGTAGGTAGTTTTTACTGCAGTGAGTAATTCTGGATAGGTACTAATATATTTGCATGTTTATAAAACAAAATGGATTGGAGGGCCTACCATGTTACACCTTCCACCACTATGCCATGGTGTACACTGAGCTTGTGAGAGGCTGCCATTAGTCTGATGTCACATGATTCACCAACTGCATGAGTATCTCCAAATAACATCTCTTGTATAGCTTCACTAGTCATTATTCCATAACTCAACAATTTTTGTACCGTCAACTGGTGTGACTTCGGCCACCACTACAGCAGAAACAAATGGCAGAAAAACAAAATAATAAACATTGGCCAAGGTGACTGGGTTGACTTTGGCCAACATTTATTATTTTGTTCTGCTGCCATTAGTTTCAGTTGTAGTGGTGGCCAAAGTCACCCCAGTTGAAGGTAATGAATACCTATGTTCTTGATTTCACAATAAATAGATTTGATTAACACTGAGATTCAAATGACAAGTCATTTCAAAATTTAGACACCTCTTCATGTGTCCAGATATAAATTTTTTCACATTTTTTCTCGATTTTGTTAATGTTATTTTTTCTTGATTTTGTTGATGTTATCTAACTAACCACTTCAGATTCTGAATGATTTTGTCTCCCATTAGGAGTTTTCAAACATGTCATGTCTTGGAAAATGTTTGTTTGGATGCGGCAATTAGTATTTTATTACATAAATACCTACTAGTTCTTAGGCATGTGTGGTGTATTAAAATTCAAAAGCAGTGACATTTTCAGATTTTCATTCCCAAAAATTCATGTAAGAGTATTTAAAATTCATAATTTGATACACAAATAAAATTGATAGATAATCAATTTTATAGATAAATATAATGCAAAAATACATTGATCAGTTAATCAGAAACATAAAAAATGATTTCACAATTAATAGGACCAGCACCCAAACATGTTAACAAGAGGTATTAGTGATTTTAATGCTCTGTTTGTGGAGGTTATTTTGACCAATCAGCAACACTTGTGCAGGGACCCAATGCTCGGGCCTAAGTGGAATGAATGCAGCATCAGAGAGATTAATCTGCCTGTTCCAATTCCATCACAAGGTTTTTCAGTAAAAAAAGTAAAACTAATTCTGCAGGATTATCAAAAAAATAACTGAAGTAACACAAAACTCTGCGGAGGAGAAGCAAGTCCGAAATCCGTGGAAAGATCAAACAAAGCGGAAAGCTAGGATTTACAGAAGCAAATTGCATCAGCTGTATACCAGGTCACAAAACAGCAGTGGCATAATGTAAATGCAACATGTTGCGTGACTCACAGACTGACTGTAAATAAAAAGATTCGACACCTTCACACTAGAACTACTCCTTCAGAATGTGATTGGGTATGGATTACAGCTGTGCAGTTACTTTGTTCATTCATTTTATTGAGTTTTGTAGCTGTTATTGCTTTACTGGAGATGCTTCATGTGAAGTGCTCACCATAACCCTTATTGACTTGGTCATATTTTACAATGAAAAGAAAATTTCTAACTTGTTGCCAAAAGTTGCATCATCACTCAACCTGTTGAATGCCATATCTACCTTATGTCTGCATGCATTGGTAAATCGTGCAAGTGGTAATGTGTAACTGTATTTGTGAAAATTGCATGTGTGCATATTTTACATAATAAATCCTTGCAAAAATGCTTACAATATTCGAATAGCTGCAATCAACAAAAACACTAAGGAGTTTCTCTATCTATAACCCAGTATGGACGTACATTTAAACATTAAAACTTAAGTTTTTGTTTATGTGATCCATGGGAGATGTTTCAGACAATTTGAATGCTGAAATTATATAGCTTTTAAATGTGGTTCACATTTTGTTGATAGGACACTTTAGAGTTAAGAGTTAGTATGTCTTTATCTCATGCTTCTTATTAGAGACCTTTATTATCAATTTAGGAAACCTCAATAGATGCCAAAACAATTTTAAAATCTGCCATCAATGAATATGGTTTGCACTCATTTCATCAGAATTTAATCTTTTGAACAAAACTATAATATAGTATATTGGTTTCAACATTTGTTAGACCATCAGACATGTCCCCAATTCTTAACTTGACAGAATATTTACAAATAGTTGCTGTCTCTAACATGCAACTCACTCAGCATGCTCCAGTTTTGATATTGATAGCCATATTTTTCAGGCCATCATGCTGTATCAGGCCATCATGCTGTATGCATAATCAGGCCATCATGCTGTATGCGTAAAGAATACATCACATGTATGATCAACTAATTTGCTTTTTAGGGTTTTAGGTTTAGGATTTTCATCTTTATCATTGCACAATTGAAATGTGTACATTTTTTGTCAAAAATGTCAGTTCTTAGATCAGTTTTTAGTGAAAAGCATCACATAATATTCAAATGTATTTCAAGAACTCTTTGCTGAAAGGTATAGGGTAGCTGCTCACATTTCTGTATTAATGGAGGTGGCAACTGATGAGTGCAGTGACACCTGTGGGAGAAGGTACGACGGATGCGGTATAGTAAAACAATTTATACGTTTCTTTTCTATGCCTTGGGATTAGGGCAATGAAAGGAGTAATGTTTTCTAGACTAAATATAGATGTTGTTTATTTAAATATTGAATCGTGAAAACCTAGTAATTCCGTGAAAATGGTCAAGATCTCTTACCAAAATGGTGCAACTGCTGTCCTGTGTAATTCAGTGAGAATTGTTAATTTTGGTATGCCTGTTCATTTCCATTTAGTACGCCTGTGCATGCATGTCTGCCTGTTCATTCATCACCTTGAATTTCCAGTTGACTACTTGAGTAGGTTCAATGGGTTTGGCATGCGTTTCAACAGCTGTTGAGCTGCAGCCAGTAAAAATAAGCATTGAGGGAACAGAGAAAAACTTGTTGTCTATATATTCCAAATTGAATGCCAATGAATGGATTTGGTAAGTATTTTACAAATAATGGGTAACATTTATAAGTAGGAATGAAAATGTCAGTACTATTTCAGAATCTATTATCAAATACACTTGTGTAAACTTATGTTCTATAGTCAATGAAGTCTTTGAAATGATAAAATACTTGGATTTAAAATATTTAGAAGAGTGAGAAGATCAGAAGAGTCGTAAGAAAAATTTTGTATCTTGGCATAAAGGTCCAAATATATTTTAAACCATCAGAAATTAAACAAATGTTAATTAACTTGAACTGTATATGCAGTATATTAAAAACTTGAACACTACAACATCCATTCCAGTTCATTACTACATCAAACAAAGAGATGACCTGAGATGCCTGAAAATGAGTGGAAGAGTAGGCTTCTTGAAATGGCTCTGCTCAGTTAGTTTATAACCAGAAAATTAGGGACCATCACAACCGCAGCATCCCTCTAAAAAAACACACACACATACAACAAACAAATACAAACCGTACAACTAAAGCTAAATAATATCATAAACAACATATACCAAATTCATCAATCACTTTAGCGCAATCTTCTCTCTCTCCAAACACACCATCACCAATTCACTCACTTCAAACAACCCCACACACTCTCTATCATTCACACAATGCAATATATACTTAAACTCGTAAATCCTATCACTTTTCAAAAAAAAAATCAATCTAAAATAGCCTTCACTACAATCGCAACACTCGAATCTTTATCACTCATCAGTAACGCCAATATATCTCAAAAACAATGGCTCGCGTTTTCCCAATACTAAACTCAAAAATAACCCTCGGTATTCCAACAAAATATCGCCCACAAAAACCATATTCCAATACCCACAGGCATAATTCAAATCTATCCAATTGCAGCATCACGCACATTATCAGTAATCATTAGTTCACCCTGCAACTGTAGTATTAAAACACAACTCTGAAAACGTAGCAACAATTGAGCCCTTTTAAATAGTTTAAAACCGTCCCTAATATCTCTCTNGGGTCAGGATGTTCCGGAAACATGCCCCACCTCAAGAGAAGAAAAGGAGCCAAGATTGAAGCGCGTGCGAGGTCTGGTTGATTTTTAGCGATTTTTTTAAAAAATCCCCACTCTTTGGGGATTGGTGTCTTCCCCATGGGGAATTTCGGGAATCGGACCGTTGATTCGTCAATAGGAAATCAAGCTCTATTATGAGCCAAAATTTCAGCTTCCTGGCAGGCCTGGAACATGGTGAATGGCGCCAAAAGTACAAATTTCGTGAGAGGTACGGAAGTTAGATTGCAGTCCTCGTCCTCGTCCAGATAGGATTTCTGTACTAGGGGCGGGGGTTCGTTTCAGTGATTTTCTTCGAAACTTTTTTGGAGTCCCCACGCGTGTAATAAAACAATATTAGTAATTAAATTTACCAGTTTTATTTTTAATGAGATATTTGACAAGTGTGTATTGAAATGCTCAGTGGCATTGGCAACCAGAATCTGGATATAACTCAGTCTCAATTGCACACATGCTTTCATTACATAAGCAGCAATGTGAGTTTGTTCCCTCAAATCACTTTTGCTGTGTGCATTGT